TCATTTTCGTGACCTCACCATTATAAGTCAATGGGGAAAAATGAAAACTGCTATTCTGGCGCCGGGAACGATCTCCAACTATCTCAAGCACACAGAATCGTGATTTGATGCACTCCTTGCAAGGTCAGATGCGTCACTTTTGCAATGTTGACCTTGCGTGACGTCATTTATGACGTCATCAAGGTCATATTAGTTTTTCGTCAATAACTCTTGATCAAATTGAGCTAGCGAGTCGAGAAAGCCACCAATGGACTCAAGAAGACCTGCCGAATCGAATGATATGCGACATGACCCCTTTCGACCAACTTCGTGACCTGGGGGTGCTGACCTGACCTTGACCTGAGGTCAACATCCCAAGTTGACCTGACCCGGACAAAAAGTATATCATTCGACGCGCCTGAGCGAGGCGAGCACGATGCTGCCAAAATCGCGGCTCTGCGGCCGTTTTTTGCGAAGTTATTCACCAAAAACTGAACCGTACCCTGGGGCACGTGACCTGACCTCAGAGGTCACCGGTTGACCTAGGACCTTAAAATCGGGTACCAATCTCTGCGTCTCGTAATGGCGCACACGCTCGTTTTTTCCGCGACGCGCTAGCTCCACCAGGGGCGAAACGGCGAGGGGGGGGGTCGTACCCGCCCCCCCCCCTCGGCCGGCGCGTATGTAAAAAACCAATAGGTCCGGCGAGGGTTAATTGTAGGGGTGGTACAGTGAGTGTTATTGTAGAAATTGGTTTGGCTGCATTCAATCACCTGCAGTTCTTTAGGATTTTACACTACTGACGCGTATCTAAAACAGTATTTTCCTCATTTTTCCCCTGCAGTATTCAATTCATATTGGCACTACAGCGGCGGCCTTTGTCCTCTACGATGCCTCTTGATAGCGATATCTGAACCCTCAGCAGACACTTTCGAACGACTCCGGCTACCTAAGACCTCACAGTCTGCCGGAACCGACGGTCTTACCGCGGGTCGGCTCCTGCGGTTGCGGTTTGGCCTGTGGGCTAGGGCTGTGGATATAAATGTAACCAGGTGCTGCCCCAGCTGTCGAACAGAGAATGATCTGTGTCGTAGGATGCGAATTTAGTGGGGTATGATTTACAAAATGCATAATGTATGCGAGTCAAAAGGTTTGGTGTTTCTCATCACGCTAACATTGAGGTAAATGTCATCGGAAGTATTCTATCGTGGTCTACCCAAATAATAGTTATAGTTGTTCGTGCTCTCGCATGCAGAATAACTCCTTTCTTCAGCACCCAGGGCTCACAGGTTCCCCACAACATAAACCGAAGTCAATTTACGCCCGTTCTAAAGTCGTCCACTTCTCCGTCCGCTGAACGTTATCAACTTACATATATCCCCACTGCGCATTGTGTCCCCTGTCATCCACCTACTTTACCACTATCCACTATTGTCCACCATTGTCCACCGCTGTCCACCATCGCTATCCACCGTCCACCCTCATCCACTCGTCTACCAGACAGCCCGCTACTCTCTCGGTCCGCACAAGTACCCAGTGAACGGCGGGCAGTGCAGTCGAGACCAGACCTCGCCCGGGGCCGCTCGGCGCCGTAATTAATTGCACTGCCGGCGGCTTGAACGTGCTGCAAAAGGTATTCAAACAATGGCCTCCAGCGCTGCCGCATCACAGGCATCGCTAATTATACCATGTGATGGTCGGCGAAAGCTTTTGTTCCGGCATACGCCGTGAAATTTCATATCTATGCGAGACGGAGGGTTCGAGACCAGTGGTGCGCGAGGATTGCGGTGTTTTTTGATAGTGTGGTAATGAGCTGCATAGCTTGTGCGATACGTGCGGTAGTGCTTGATCTTGGCTTGATCGATTTCACGATGGTTAGGTACGCTTGGTGATCGTTTGTTTCACGCTGGCGATGTGATGCACATGCGGCTCAAATAATTGCACAATCGATGCGGCACCGTTGAAGCTTTGATTGTATCCTCGTCAAGGGGGGTCATCAGCCATGTAACCTTCGACCTCGTGCCTATTGACCAGTCAAGAGAAGGCTAAGCACATCATACAATCAATCATGTCTATAGAATCATGACTGCACAGTCGGCTCGGTCATGGCTTGCGCCCCATCCTAGATGCCTATAAGTCATTGTGAGTCGTGTTCAAGTGCTGTTCGTCACTCACTAATACGATGGCTCGCGATTCGCTGGGTGGTCTATGTATGGTATGATGTTTTCGCTTTATTCCTGTTCAAAAATACACTGCAGAGTGCAGGTGCAAGTGCTTATTGGACATGTGATTGTTGGATAAAGCATGCTACACACACACAGGATCCTATCAGAGCTGAGAGCAGTGATACCTGTCCCCTGGGCCCAACTCTTCCCTTGTCTTTTGCCGAGGGCTACGCACACAGCGCGCGCACTCCCTCGAGACTCCCCCGGACCGGAAGATTAAAAACCTCACCCGGTTCCTTCGCTGGCAAGTTGGCTGATTTGGCGCAGAGTCGAGTCTGATTATTTTCTCCGACGATATCGTCCGCTTTATATGAACTTTGGCTGCCAACTCCGGGTTCGTTTGGTCATTTTTCCACCTCATATATTAGGCACGCGATTTTTGGTGGGTCGCTCCTCAGCTCTGTAATTCCTCCCCGCCCTCTTTCGGTAGATTGTCAGACGCCGTGAAACGAGACTTGAGAGACAGACTCCGTAATGATTACAAGTGGAGCACTTCTGACCTGTAAGACGCCCCCTGGGGTAGGGGTTTTTGTCTATCAGAGATAAAAATGCTGGATTTTACAGCCATGAATGGTGTGCCACGTCTTTGATGACTGTGTCAATTATTTGACGAGAGAGAGAGAGAGAGAGAGAGAGAGAGAGAGAGAGAGAGAGAGAGAGAGAGAGAGAGAGAGAGAGAGAGAGAGAGAGAGAGAGAGAGAGAGAGAGAGAGAGAGAGAGAGAGAGAGAGCGAGAGAGAGAGAGAGAGAGAGAGGAGAGAGAGAGAGAGAGAGAGAGAGAGAGAGAGAGAGAGAGAGAGAGAGAGAGAGAGAGAGAGAGAGAGAGAGAGAAAGAGAGAGAGAGAGAGTTAGATGCACGTTATAGGGCCGCTGGTGCCCTAACAATTTCCATACTGCGCTGCGTTCAATGATGATAAACGGCTGAGCCCGTGGAATATCGCAGATGCCATTGCATTAGAGCTTATCTCGGGATAACGCAGACGCCGAAGATTCACAACGCAGGGAAATGATTTGACCAGTGACCACCAATCCTAAATGTCAGTTGAGGTGCGATAATGCGACATTTTTCCATTTACAACCTCTAACAAATGATATTAGCCTAACAGTGAAACGATGAATAAAACCAAACGATGAATTAATCAAAATTCCCGTATGGGAACGGTAAGTCATTTAGGCCAATATATGATGTATGAGATAATTTTCCGGCTTCACCGTACAGCTTTCACGGATAATAATTAATCACGGCTGTTCAAAGCGGTCGTGATCTCACATATGGCGAGAAACACAGCTGAATATGCGAGAAAATGCCGGTGGGATGTTCGCTTTTCGTCACCGTTGGGGTGGGCTGTGGCCGATGCGTGTTGGGAGGCGATTATCCGGTCTGAACATGGCTTTAGTGATCCGGTCTGAACATGGCTTTAGTGCTGCTCAGGGGCGTAGTGTTGCTGTCGTTAATCAGCGCTGTAAGGCAGGGACTATCGGTGATCAGCCGGGTTGGGTGTAGTTTGTAAGTGATGCAGAGATTATGTGAAATATACCATATACGTGATTTTTAGTTGAGCGACATGCAGCTCTTCTAACTATGGCGATGCATGTTTTTAAGATAAGTATGATTATAAACTGCTGATTACACCCTGAATAAATATTGAAATGCCATGAAACCTGAATAATCTGCTCACGTGAAAGTTGCAGATTTATCCAAATACATGCAATTAATCATTAACGTCAGTTGATTTTCAAGCATAACATATTTCTCGCTTAATAGCTCACACGAAATTGCCAATTTATGTTAGGAATATCATGATAGCATGTGTTTTACCACAATCGTGTTAGTATTAAGTGCCCTTTAATAAGATCCATTTTTATTCATTTCGTCTCTACATAGCTGCTTTGTTCGATATAGCCTTGTACTCCCACTTACGTCGATATGATAAACCCAGGCACGAAGTCTCGTTGGAAAAACTGGAATGTGCTGAAATGTATCAGCATGCTGATGTAGCCCAGCCATGCTAACAAATTTAGGAGAATCTTAAATCTTAGGTTTCCTTAAGAAAAGTTAGATACTTTTGAAACCTTTAGAATATTAAAACCTTTAGAATCTTAAACCTAAAGAATTAGAAGCAATATTAGAAACGTAGACTTTTGTTCTTAAAACGGCTTTGTATGCTCAATGTCAGCCAAATATGTTAGTTCCCTATTGTATGGCCTTGACATTCAAACTAGGGCAATTTAACTTCTATTGCAGTTGCAAACGTTTTACATTGACCAATGATTTACTTATGACTGAATCCATGGTTATTTTTGGTTCAGTAAAGTCAAATGTGAGCATTATTGACGCACCTGGACCAGGACGAGGAATTGGTTTGGTACTTATTGGCTCGGCCAGTGACTGGAAGGTGACTTGTAGGACGACGCGATGCCCGATAAGACTATCAGCCGTAATCCAGCCCTATCTCCGAAGTCCTGTTTTCGCGTTTCTGAAAACAGGGAACGCCAGTAAAATGATATAAGGGGGACGCACGACGAATCGATTCCACAGCAGACAGTAGGCACAACTCGCCATGGCAACATTATTTTGTTGAGTGGCCACAGGCCACCATCAAGTGAACGGGGCACCCAGCCCCCAAACACTGACTGCATTCGGCTTCAGGCTCGCTGCATATAGGATAGCCGATAAAGTTGCCCGTCCAGCCCGGAACAGGGGGTGAGGCGGGAGGAGAATGATTTGACTATCCTGGGGATGGAAACGACGGAACGGTGATGCCCCGCCCTAACCGTCGACCCCCTCCGTTCGCAGGCTGTGTGGGCGCATTCTCCATGGCCCTGTCGCTGGCCGTATCACCGCTCACCATTGCCATCTGTCGGCGGAAGTCGACACGACTAACTGCCGTGCTGGGCGGCCTGGTGGCAGCACTGGGCTGTCTCTTCACCTCGTTCGCGTCTCAGTTTCATCAGTTGTTCTTTTCCTACTGCATTGTGATAGGTGAGTCAGAGAGCACTGTGATAGGTGAGTCAGAGAGCCGAGAGGGTTGGCCACGTCTGGACTCAGGGTCCATTATGATGGCTGTGTGATATTTGACAGTCGTAAATCATCAGAGGTGTTAGCACTCACCGCAGCAGAGGGGCGAGGGCCCGAGCAGGGCATTTCTTCCCATGCCTTCCCTCAGGTTTTTGATGCTGAAGACAGCCCATATCCAGCCCAGCTTCAGCCCAGATTCGGAACACCTCAGATCGAGCTGAAACTTGCACACAATGTAAGCCGTGACATGCCCAATGCACAGCCCAAGTCATTCGGTGGCACTTCCAGCCGTTTGACCTACAGATAACAGAGGTCAGCAAAGGTCACGTGGCCCAAATTCACACAGCAGATTATGACCCTTCCAAGTGGAGCTAGAGCGCTATAAACGGCATAAAATGACTCGCAGGCATCTGATCTTACTTTCCCACTAGCAACTTGACCTCCCGCGGTCATGCGTTGGCTTAAGGTCATTTGCGGGCTATGTCGAAAATACACGTGCACAGCGGTTCTCGAGGATACGGACCGACCGAATTCCACATCAAAGCACACCACCAAAGCCCATGAGACGTAGTAACTTTTCCTCGAAACCGCTTCTCGCCATGTGACCCCGTTTGACTTGGACAGGTCAAAAGGTACGATTCTCCGACAGTCCCTAGATCGCAGCCCGGATTCAAACGCCCGGAGGTCAAACGGGGTCACACATAACTAGAAGCGGTTTCGAGGAAAAGTTACTACGTCTCATGGGCTTGCTTTGGTTTGCTTTGATTTGGAATTCGGTCGATCCTTATACTCGAGAACCGCTGTGCACGTGTATTTTCGACATAGCCCGCAAATGACCTTAGGTCAACGCATGACCGCGGGAGGTCAAATTGCTAGTGGTAAAGTAAGATCAGATGTCTGCGAGTCGTTTGGTGCCGTTATAGCGCTCTAGCTCCACTCGGAAGGGTCATAATCTGCTGTGCAAATTTGGGCCACGTGACCTTTGCTGACCTCTGTAGGTAGGTCAAACGTCTGGGAGTGCCACCGAATGACTCGGACTGTGGATTGGGCATGTCACGGCCTACATTATGTGCCAGTTTCAGCTCGATCTGAGGTGTCCCGAATCCGGGCTGAATCCGGGCTGAATCTGGGCTGAATATGGGCTGACTTGACTGACATGGGTTTTCGCACTATTCCGTCATCTCCATCCTCAAGACAGTCAGATCCTTCTCTTACATACCTACCTCTAACTGTCTGTTCGGGGGTAGGCGGTCAACTTCATCCCACGTGAGTAGCTCCTCAGGAGCAGGCTGACGCGCTGTAGGGTGACCGTTTGCGGGGCTGGGTCACGGGTGCAGTTTGCCCACTGTTAGATGCGGGTCCAACCTCGTCGGCGCGCCAGGATGGCTGCCCATGTACCAATGTCTCCCACTAATTCCTATCATCCTTTCGGCTCTGAACCGTTCTCGTTAGACCGAGAAGACCTATAAAAACAGGTTTTCTCGAATTTAGGGCCTTGTTTTTATTTTACAGGCGATCAGCTTCAGCATCAGCAATTAAATACAAATACAATTACAAATACAGACATGTGTCCTATCCGCATTTTTAGGCTGACTCGGTGTAGGACTTAAATTCGAATGATTTTGACTCAGGCCTTATTTCAGCATTTTCCTGCACAACTGAAAATGCGCTTCCTTTGCATACACTACTCAATCAAACATTTGCATTTTATTTGTGACAAAAAAGATATTTTCACAATTCAACTTAAAATTAGTGACAACTGAGTGGCATTGTTTGGGAAAAACGTGAACTTTTTATTCTAGTAAGGAAATAAACGACTAATTTCAATTAAAAATTCTTAGCAATCAATGAAACAAATCAACTCAGTCTCGAATCCTCACACCTCGTAACCTTTCGATGTCTGCAAACAAGTTGGCGATAGTGTTTGTGAGCTGGAGATGTGACTGTCAGTTTGGGAACCGCAATGTCGAAGTTTTTCTACAGCCCGAATTCTACATGCTATACAATTTTTCTAACCGAAGTAAAGTTTACCATTTTCTAATCAAATTCATGTTTTATCGATTTTGAAGAAAGCTACGGGGGATATTTTTTTTTTAAATTCCACGGATTAGTTCCATTAACCCTCGCCGGACCTATTGGTTTTCTACATACGCGCCGGCCGAGGGGGGTACGACCCCCCCCCCCTCGCCGTTTCGCCCCTGGTGGAGCTAGCGCGTCGCGGAAAAAACGAGCGTGTGCGCCGTTACGAGACGCAGAGATTGGTACCCGATTTTAAGGTCCTAGGTCAACCGGTGACCTCTGAGGTCAGGTCAAGTGCCCCAAGGTACGGTTCAGTTTTTAGTGAATAACTTCGCAAAAAACGGCCGCAGAGCCGCGATTTTGGCAGCATCGTATTTGCCTCGCTCAGGCGCGTCGAATGATATACTTTTTGTTCGGGTCAGGTAAACTTAGGGTGTTGACCTCAGGTCAAGGTCAGGTCAGCACCCCCAGGTCACGAAGTTGGTCGAAAGAGGTCATGTCCCATATCATTCGATTCGGCATAGGTCCTCCATAGGATTCGGCAGGTCTTTCTGAGTCCATTTGTGGCTTTCTTGACTCGCTACCTTAATTTGATCGGGAGTTATTGACGACAAACTAATATGACCTTGATGACGTCATAAATGACGTCACGCAAGGTCAACATTGCAAAAGTGACGCATCTAACCTTGCAAGGAGTGCATCAAATCACGATTCTGTGTGCTTGAGATAGTTGTAGATCGTTCCTGGCGCCAGAATAGCAGTTTTCATTTTTCCCCATTGACTTATAATGGTGAGGTCACGAAAATGACCTGACCTCATATGACCTTTAGGAAAAATCCGAGATATACAGGTTGTGACTGTGAGATTCATAATGGATACTAGATCCTGCAAGTTTCATTTCCCTGTGACATCTTCATTGGCAGTGAGGGCGTTGCGAAGTTGCGACATCTTAAAGGGACCCTCCCACCTTCAAAAAAGTTAATGAATTGGCATAAAAGTGATGTAGCGTGAATCACAAAGAGCGAAAATGAACATCTACCAAATTTTACCGGAAAATATTCACCCGTTTTCGAGATATAAGACTTTTATTTTTGTTTACTTTTAGGGAAATCCGCTGTTTCTATGACGTCACATAAAGGTTTTCTTTACGTCGGCATTTGGAAGCAATAGTTTGGTATCAAAGTGCGACAAATATTGCGCGAATGATGCGTTTATCTTATCAAGGTCAATATATGATGGCCAATAAAGGATTCCAGGACAATTCTTATGGCATTTCTTCGTATCGCAATTCTTTGTCTGCAAATCTTCGTCAGGGCATTTATTCGTACCTATCGCATTACTTTGTCTCGCACCAGGGTATATGAAAATCGGCTCGCATTTCTTCTTCAACGCAAATATATGCAAGAGTAAGCATTGAGGGACAAATAAATACACCGACGAAGATTTGTAGACGAAGAAATGCGGACGAAAAATTGTGCTACGAAGAAATGTCATGCGAGGATTCGTTCGGGTACCATGACATTTATGTGATTTCAAAGTCAAGGTTCACAGCTGATCTGCTAAATCAAGCCAAGAATCCAAACTATCAAAAAACTATAAATATTTGTTTGTCTGTCACAGAGGTCTCAAGCAATATAAGGTTGACATATGTTGGATCAAAAATCTACTGCCACAACTCACATCTCCTGCCTTAGTTTATCATTGTTGTTTTAACTTGCTTTCAAGAGAAACAGAAGCCAGTATCTGATATCACTTCAGATGATTGTTTCAAGATCTGAGTTCAAATGGAAATAAAAGCAAGATCAAGATGAAACAGGGATTATTGCTGTTAAAGTAGTTTGGCCATGATACAACAAGCACATAAATCATTAGCCAAATCAAATACTGGTTGGTTTGTCAAGATGTTTGTTGTCTGTCGTCTGTCGAGCTGCTATGAACACTGAACGCTCTCACTAGAGAGTAGTTTAAGTTGAATGGTAGTGAGCTTTAATTAGACAAAGCAGCTATTCAGTGCTCACATCAAGCCAGGCTAGGAAATGGCATCAACTGTGGTGGGAGGAAGCAGGTTCGGCAGCCCTATGTTGTAAACTTCTGTTATGTCTTGTGTTTGATCAACTGATGTTTTCTGCTCTGTTTTGTGCAGTGATAGTAGCAGGTAACTGCATGCTTGTCAAATTATGTGAATAAACGAATTCATAACATTGCATTTTTCTCTCCATGCAAGGAACAAGTAAGATGTTGTAGAAAATGTAATAGAGGGCTGCATTGCTGATTTTGCACTTTATCAGAGCTTTATTTAGAATTGCTTTCCTGAAAGCTACACACAGGCCACAGTGCTGAAATTCACAATGTCATAGCTTTTGGCAGAAAAAAGAAAAGACTTACCTAGGTAAAATTGGCTGAAAGTATGGCAGAGCAGGTCTCGATGCGTATGCCCATCCGTGTGCTTGCCGAAGCCGAACTGACTGCAACACATTTAACTCTGACCCACCATGGTGGCTGGCATATCCTGAACTTTCACCACTCTAAACAAGACAACTTTCAGCCCTCAGCATTGTATTAAAACACTGTACAAAACACTCAAAATTTGTTTCAGTGCCATCCACGGTCCACGGACAACATCAGTCGCCATTCACCAGGCCAGTAAAAACAGAATAGATAATAGCTTCAAACCCATGTAGTCAGAGTTACTAGGTCTGCACCTCAAAACAAAATCCAGGTGACATTCACCACGCCAGTAAAAAACAGGTACTTAGGTAACGTAACAGCTTCAAATCTGGTAACATGTTGGTCGGACTTTACACTACCATATTTACATGGAATAATATGATACCAAACAATAGTGCAACCATTCTGGACAACAAAAGTGTATGATAAAATTAATTTAGAATACTCTGGCAGCATGATTTACGAGCACAGGCAGGTGTTACCTACCAGCCTTCTCA